TTTCTGTTTTCAGTTTCAGAATTCCGTAGGCTTCGCTCTGTCGCTGACTCAGCTGTCCCTCTTCGCTATTTATCCATCTAAGACGAAGAAGGATCAAGAGAAACTGAATTAAAATAAAATAAAAACTTGTACAATGCTTCCTGTTATCGCCACTTTTTTACAGTGCAAAAGATAAATTAGTTGTATTTACAAATTCGAGCGTTGAACGCTCGACCCAATCTTCCTTAGATTAAATGTTATTTTTTTTAATTAAACCCTGCAGTTTTATTTAAATTCACCCGGAAACGAAGTACGAATGAACGTAATGGACATTAAAAGGAGGAGGTCCCCTTCAGAGAATTGTGCTTATTTAAAGCGCAGATCCGTTCAATCAACGACGCGTTAAACGATCAATTTTAGTAACCGTTTCTATTTTTAATCTACAAAACATTTCGTTTCAATGACTAGAATTAATTGAAAGGAGTTCTAATCTTTTAGAGATTCGCAATCTTTGAACAACGCCTGCTATGAAAGCACAGAATTCATTATGTAAATTCAATTGTACGTCTAATAATAACCGCATACTTCTCAATGAGCGTGTGCTACGCGACGGAGGGACTCAGTTGATTACCATTTCACTTTCCACGATGCAAATAAGAGAACCTCCTCCTGGCGACAAACGATTTACGTCCGTGGCGCGCTCGTTATGGGATCGACTTATTATTATATTATGAGCGACGTGCATCATCGGCTTTCTGATCGAGTTTGCTGGCTAATAGCAGGAAACAGTGACCTTCTACAGTGGACAGTGGCTATCGTGGCCGTCAGTAACGCGTACGATTCTACAGAGATTGCCATGCGATCCACTCATTATTATTTCTACAAATTCAATACAAAATTAAGTATAATTCGCGTGTGTTTTTATAAATTCTCATGTGCTGCCTAGTGTTTAAGATTTCCATTGTTTGGTAAAACAAAGCAAGATGAGATGAGATGAGGTGAGTGTTTTTAAACAAAACCAATCAAAAGAAAGACTCATTATGAATTCCCTCATGAAAGAGGCATGATTCACGTTCGTCACGTGCGGATCGTACGTCAGAAGACTGTAAGCGGACGTACAATAATTGGTAAATGAAATGGAAATCTGGCAAACGAACGTAGTTTTCAAAGAGCGTCGGTAGGAACCGTCGGACTTTTTCTAATTTGTTTCATTTGTTTCAATCGCGCATCCGCGCACGGTTTCCCTACGCTAAGATTGATCCCCACGAGTGTGCGCCTGGGGATACTCGCCGTCGCACACACAGAGGGAAACTAGTCGGTTTAACGTGGACAAGTTTCTGTTGTGTACGAAGGAGGAGGAGGAGGAGCCTCGTTCGACACCTGCTGCTGCTGCTGCTGCTGCTGCATCCCCTGTTGCCTCTCTTCTACGAGTCATCATGCGGATCAGCTGACGGTTCGTGTAACGCAATGCTTCCAATGGTGTAACGCTAGGAACAGCGATAAGGATCGCGTAAGCACAGTCAGTCTTCGTCTAGGATGCCGAAATTCTCGCTCCTGCTCTTCCTTTTCTTCCAAACCTAAAATATATAAATATTAGAAAATCTCAACAGATAAACAATTCTTTAAACTATTTTAGAAAATTTTGCTACCTCTTTTTTTTATAAATTCTGTGATTTTGTAATTACATTTTAATTTACAATTAATTTTGTTTTACATGAGATTTATATAGAATTATTGTCAATGTGAGGAAAATGAAGACGTCAGGCAGGGAAAGTAGAGCGTTTCTTGTGTTCACATGGCAGAAACTCATCCAGAAACGGATGGCAATCCCTACCACCCACCCTCCCTTCCTTCCTTCCTTCCTTCCTTCATTCTCTATGTTTCTATCCCATCGGACTTAATATCAATTTAGAGTAGCAATACGGGGAGTATTTCGATGCCGTGTAATTTGCTTGAACGTTCGTTAAGTATAGGACAATTATAACCGGCGTACAATAACGACGAGGTCGCACGAGCACCACGCGTCCTTAAGGATCTTATTAGCTAACAAGACACGCTAAATTCTCTCTCCCTCCAGGAAGAAATAAACAAATTCAAATTTAGCTGTTCTATAATGGAGCCAATCGAATAAATGCAGTCTTTGATTATGGCATATCAAAGTTTATCCACAATTTTTAAGGAAGTTTTTTTAGTTGTTCTAATAAAATAATTGCAAGAGCAATGTACGAATCTGGAGTTGGATGGTAGCAGATGTCACAGAGGATTCAGGGAAACTTCTATATTACACAAGTTTCATAGATCGCTTGCAATATTTCATTTTTAGTGTCACACAAGCAAAGGGAAAATCTGTTGACAAGATATTTAATATGTATTAAAAATTGATATAATTAAATCTAATATTCAACTTCTTAAGTAAGGCAAAGTTTATATAAAAATCAGCAAAATGCAAATCTACATTTCAGATATTCAATTAATAATTTTGCAAACTGAATTCAATCCACTTATGAAACTCGATTTGCTATAATCGAATCGAGAATCTCAAGTATTGCAGATTTTCCATTAATAATTCTGCAATATTTCAGATATTTAATTAATAATTTTGCAAACTAAATTGAGACTATTTATAAAATTCGTTTGGTAGGGAAAGAAGAGAGATTTTCAATTAACAATTTTGCAAAATGAATCGAACCTACTTATGAAAGAAGAGTATGGATTTGCTATAATCAAATTGAAAATCTGAAATATTGCAATTCTGCAAAATGCAAATCTGCAATATTTCCTATTTTCAATTAATAATATTGCAAAACGAATCTCGTCTATTTGTAAAATTGATAAAAAAAGAGCATGGGTTTGCTATAGTGGAATCGATGGAGGAAGGGGATGTCGGGAAGGGGGATGATCGGGGCAGGCTGAGACAGTAGGAAAAAGAGGGAGAATCCTGGCTGAGCGGTTATTCCGTAGACGTCTTACCGTCCCGCAGGACACGCGTTATGTGTAACACAGTCTGATACGTCGTATTCAGTTCAGATATTTGTTTTTCCTCTCTGGCCAGTTTCGGCCGACGATCACTTTTTCTCTCTTCCGGCCCAACGACTCCCGGAGGTTCTCAGTGACGCGAGTGACACCCGCGCTCGTCGAATCTCTCCGTTTCCGGTCGCGGTTCATCCGCGGTTCCGTCTGATTTACGTAAGTCACGCGCCTTCATTAAAAATCACATCTGCAAAACAAAAATAACTATCAGATCTCTTACAATTTTCTTACAATTATCTTTTTATACTAATTATTCTCAGGGCTGAATTAATTATAATAAAATTGTATTCAATTTCATTCTCTTCGTTTTTATGCTTTAAATAAAAATTGTTTGCCTAAGAGAAAGGATTTTAATATCGTTTACTCGAGGCTGGCAGATGAAAATCTCTGGGACACGTTCTTGAAAATAACCGAGTATTCAAGACATGCACAAGTTATTACGAGAAATGCAAAAACCAAAATATATTGCTGTTTAGCATTGAACATAAAAGTGCTTCAGATTTTATCTGACTGAGAAATAAAATCATACAGCTCTAAAACAAATCCTATAATTAATTATTAATTTGTATCAATTTAAAAAATTCTCAATTTTAAATAATTGATTAATTTATGCTGTGGAATTTTTGCAATAATCGATGCGGATTATTGGTGACACTCGTCAGTGGAGAATTAATTGTGGGAGGGTGTTTATTTCAGGATATTTTTCTAGTGACTCCGCGGTCCTCTAGTCGAGATCGTATAAATAGAAGTTGCACAGATGCGAGCCGCGAGTTATGTCTGCCTCTCATCGTCGATCGTGAGAAAATTGATCGGGGCAAACACAGAGAGGGTCAGGGGTGGGTTTCCAAATTGTGTTCCTTCCTAAACGTGAGTGAACCCTTACTTCATCAACGATCAATCAAAACAGTCCAGATTTTTTAATACAAATCTTAAATAAAAAACATCTTTCATTATTATAGTTAAATTAATATAATAATAATAGTCAATTAAATCAAGGCTTTCAAAATTTCTTCCTAAACGTGAGTGAAGCCTTTGAAAGTCTCGATTTTCTAATTTACAAATTCTAAATAAAGACTGATTACTATAATTCATTTTTAAATTAATATAATAATTAATAGTAAATTAAATCTGGGCTTTCAAAATTTCTTCCTAAACGTGAATGAAGTCTTACTCTTCAACCCCCAATGAAAAATCTCAATTTTCTAAATAAAGACGTCTGATTACTATAATTCATTTTTAAATTAATATAGCAATTAATAAATCAGGGGTTTCAAAATTGTGTTTCTTCGTAAATTGAGTGAAGCCTTACCCTTTATCAACCCAAAGCAATGAGAAGTCTCAATTTTCTAATTTACAAATTCTAAATACAACATTTAATTACTATAATTCATTTTTAAATTAATATCATAATTAATAAATCAGGGGATTTCCTAATTTCTACTTGCCACCAATGGAAGCAGTCCTGATTTTATAATAATAATTCAAATTAAATTGAAATAACGAAGACGGTCAATCTTTAATTAACATAATCGAGCAATGTCGGGATTGAATAATAAATAATCGGTTGGACGAAGTAAGGAAGGACTCTCGTTTTTCATCTTTTCTAGCCCGGGAATAAGAAGTGCATACGTGAGCGAAATTGTGAACGGTCTAATAATAACCGGCGCTCTTTTACGTATACGGACGGTTGATTTTAATTCAAGTTTCACCGACGGTCGTCCCGGGGCCAGGCCTCGTCCTTTCGTTCCAGCGCGCGGGGTCACTGATCATCATAATCGAACGCACGCGATGGGCATTCCAGAACAATAATACAAATCGTTCTTCTCTTATATCAAAACCCTAAAACAAAATTATGATTTATTACAATACATAAATAAAAACTTCATAATCCTGATTTTGCAAATCCTCAAAATTCTATTCTCATCAATTCTTATTAATTCCATGGTGTTTGTCGATGAAAAAATGATCCAGATTTTTACCTTTGCAAGAATTCTGTATCGCAGCTGAGGACCTGAAACGTAAACGAGACTTGAAATGTAAAGCACCTCGGGAATAAATCTCTAAACGTCTCCTCGCTTACCGTCCTAATCCCATGACTGACTACTTACTCTTTGAATGCATCTGGCGACGGTGTTTCTTTTCCAGTTGGAGACGAGCGAGAATTATCAAAGATGTACGGTCTAATTCTGGAGAACTTGTCGGAGTACATACGACAGGTTTATGGAGAAGACAGATGGGAGGAGATCCGTCGGCAAGCGTGCGTGGATCAACCAAGTTTCAGCGTTCACCAGGTCTACCCTGAGAATCTGATACCAAGACTAGCGAAAAAAGCTATCCAGGTACGGAGCTCTTTAAATCGCATCGCCTGGAAAATGGAATTGCATTATTGAAACGCAGAGATCGCATGAAGGTTTGTGTCGCAGGTACTAGGAGTGTCGGAAAAAGAGTTTTTCGACCAGATGGGCGTGCATTTCGTAGGGTTCGTCGGACAATACGGTTACGATCGCGTGCTGTCGGTACTCGGACGTCACGTAAGAGACTTTCTTAACGGTTTGGACAATTTGCACGAATATCTGAAATTCTCCTACCCTAGGATGAGGGCACCCTCGTTTATTTGCGAAAACGAGACCCGGCAAGGTAATCAAAATAAATAAATAAATAAACAATCTTCCATTCTTAAAAAACGACGATTTTTCTCCTGGCGCCTAGACCGCAGATTTATTAAAAAAAAAAAAACAGAATTATGGAAGTCTGCGGTCTATCGATTTATGTTTCCTCCTCGCGTTTCCAGGACTGACCCTGCATTACAGGAGCAAACGACGCGGCTTCGTTTATTACACGATGGGCCAGATAAGAGAGGTGGCTCGTCATTTCTATCACAAGGAATTACAGATAGAGTTGGTCCGTGAAGAGGTCCTCTTCGACACGGTCCATGTCACGTTTCAGCTGACGTTTGATAACAGGGCGTTCACGCAAGCATCGCTGGCGATGACGCGCGAGGAGAAACATCTACCCATAGGGGCGTCCGTTCTCTTCGAGATCTTCCCCTTCTGCATCGTCTTCGGGTGCG